CAGCCTTCTCCACCTGGGTTGGGACGATTGACCAGTAAATTTTGGGAATTGCACCCCATCCCACTGGGCAGCCTCTGGACGGAAACAGGTGCTCTAAAAACACATAGCATGCCTTCCTTCCTTCCCTAATAATGTATCCCTTCTGCTGCTTCTGGGTAAAAAACACCCCATATCAAGCCACTCCTTTTATTTTTCACTCTGGATCTAGTTTCCATTCCTTTTTTTCCCCTTTCTGTTCAATCATGTCCAATTCTTGACGACTGCCTGGACAAGTTCCTGTCGTTTTCTTGGCAATGTTTTTCCAGGGGTGGTTTTCCATTGCCTCTTTTCTAGGGTTAAGGGAGAGTAACTGGCCCAAGGTCATCCAGCCAATTTGTTCCTAAGGCAGGACTGGAACTCTTAGCTTCCCAGTTTCTAGCTTGATGCCTTTACATCAAACTGGCATATTCCATTCTAACACTGAAGGAATTATGCTACTATTCTGTTTCCAATACTGTATCTAATGTGGTATCTAAAAGGGCCAGATTCAGCTTCCACAGCATTGTCTAGCACAGTGTTTCTCAACCTTGACAATTTTAAGGCATGTGGACTTCAACTCCCAGAATTCCACAGCCAGCATTGCTGGCTGTGGAATTCTGGGAGTTGAAGTCCACATGCCTTAAAATTGTCAAGGTTGAGAAACACTGCTTAGCACTCCTATAAATGTCTGAAGAAATAAGCTGCATTTTATTCAATGGACCTACTTCTAAGTAAACATGCACAGAACTACATTCCGAGAAAGAAACCTTAGCAATCAGCTCCATAGTCCAGTATTTATCTGCCTGCCTATCTTTCTGATGTAAAACAAGCCCCAAATGACCATAATTATTTAGTGAAGCAATAGCATGATCAAACAAGGTAACAATACTCTCTGGCCCAGCACATCAAGAAAAACTGACCTGTATTTAATATTCATATTCTTCTCAGGTCCTCTAGTAACAGTTACTTTAGTAACAACTGAGAAACATAACAGAATGATCTCCTCTCTCTGATCTGTGTTTGTACCATTGTAAAAAGTATTTCATTACCATTACAAATTTCACAATTTTTTCTCACCGGCTTATAGGACATCACAAATTCAGTTCAGGTTTAAACAAAACATTCTAGGTTCAACAAACAATGGCTTATTAAGGGAACAAGCAGTTTAAACGCTCTCTCCAACTTGTCTCCTTCAAAAAAGATCTCCTGGTTTATTTAAATCATAGATTTCCATTTAGGAAACTTAATGCTTCCTACAAATCTGAGGTCCACAACTTTTTACAGATTAAAGAATACACATAACTCTTAGGAACGGCATTTCAAAACCTAGCCAAAGATAGGATAAAAACATAGATGAGACAAAAACAGGAAATATGTTTTAATTTAATTTATATTTATTTTCCACATTTTTATCTCAGCTTTCCTTCAAGCTGAGATAAAATGTGGAAAATAAATATAAATTAAATTAGGAATTCCTGGCTCAGGAATTCTGGGAGTTGAAGTCCACAAGTTATAAAAGGGCCATGATTCCCCACCCCCAATTTAAAATATAGTCCTTGGATCCCCCAAGATCCTTTTAGGCATCTGTGAAATCTAAATGATGTTGAAAAACAATACAATGTTTTATCCATTTATTAAATTGATATGCCACCCATCTCATTATCCAGCAACTATGGGTGGCATATAAATAAGTAAAATCCAAGTTTAAGAAACATTGACCTAGTGAATTCCACTATCTAGTGAGGATTTAACCAGGTCTTTCTGGATCCAGTCTAACTTTCCAAGTACTGAATATGATTATTCCCCATTCAGTTGATTTAATGCAATATATATTGCAATGAATCATGTTTTAAAAGACTTTAAATAAGATGTTGGAAGAGTTTATTCTGCTTTGTAAATTTCATGAATATAAATGAGCACACAGAGCTCCTTTAAAACTGTATTTCACACCGCACTTTAAACAAGGAAGAAAAAAACATGTTTTGTCACCAAAGTATTATAGACAATTAAGTCCCAGTTTCTTCAGAAACAAATTCAGTCTCAACTAGAGCTGTCATGGAAACATATTTGCCTACGCATTATTAACCTTGCTTTATGACTGTCAGGACAATGAAAAGTAATAACAGCATTTCATTTGGCGTTTCAGTCCCTCTGTTTCAACAAAAACTTACTAGTTTAAAGAAAGGTATACCGAGATAGAAAAAAAAAACCTGCCTCTCAATATTTAAATTTTGAGAATTATGATATGCCTTAGTTCTATGAAAGAGGGCTATTTGTTAATAGAAAATCTGTTTCTTTGAAGAACTGAATTCCAAATGAAAAGTTTTGATACTAAGCATGGCCTCAAGGCAGCTTTTATCCAATATCTAAATCAGTCTTTGAAGTATGATGTCAAAGTTAATCTATCTGGATTTTAACATTTACCTCAAAAGCTTGACAAACTTAAACATGTTTACATTTTAATAGGTTTTCTTGCTTTTCACAATCAAATTTAGGAAAAATAAATAAAAATGCAATGCATTTGAAGGCATACAAGAAGTTCCTGCAAGAGAGGCCAGCTTACAGTATCCATCCTGTAGGTAGGAAAATACCTGTGGAGCACTAGGGTCAGGTTTGTGTGTGTCCTCGGTGGTGGAAAGAGTGTGCAAAGTGCCTTAACTTGGGAGAAGGGAAAGGGCAGACAGGATCATCGCAAGAGTGATGGCAGAGGAAATCATGGCAAGAGACCAGAAGTGGAGAATTGGGACCACAGCTTAAAAGCAGTTCGCTCGTCAGCCCTTGGCTTCCACCCACTGCGTACTGTATCCTCACTTGCCCTGGGCTCCAGCTGCTGTTCCTGAATGCCAGGTTGGTATGCAACAAAGCTGCCTTCATTCATACATCTTACTATGGATGAGGATGTTGACCTGGCTTGTTTAACAGATGCCTGGTTTGTCCTGGGGGGAGATCCCCTCCGAGAATTGTACCCAACCAGGTTTTGCACCAGTTGAGACCCCAAGAAGGGGAAGAGAGTAGTTTCTGTAATCTGAGAGCAGGTGGCAGGTGTTCCCAGGAAGGTATTTGCACAACTTCCCCTAGTGTACCAGTTGTGTCCTTTCCTGGATTGCGAAGCCCTTC